ACACACACACACACATACACACACACACACACACACACACACACACACACACACACACACACATATATATATGGAGAGAGAGAGGATTCTGTAGCCAGCAAGAATTATTGTGTCTCATCCAGTCTCAGATCTGTTCCCATGTAGAGCAATCAGTATATACATCACCTATCCTGTAGTTTTTCTTTTTTTCCCCTTCATTTTTATAGCCAAGGTTTTCAGGAAGTCTCCCCCAAACAAATCTTATCTTCATTAATTTTGATTGGATTCAATGCTTTTGGTTTCCTGTGGAAACAAAGGCATAACCTCTCCCAAGTGAAACACATTTCCTCATTTCCATTCTGAAGTTATAGCATTTTTAAAAACATGTTTATTTAATATCAGTTTTTTTTCAATCCATTGTTTCTCAGCACTGTTTGTCTTTTGCTCATCAGCATTCAAAAACTTTAAAATCAATGAAGCAACATAAAGGATCCAGGTGTCCTATGTATTTCCCATCCTTACATGGCTTTTTTAAAAATTACTCTTTCTTTAAAGACTATTATTTATAAATGATTGATTGATTTTGTTGTGACTTCTGTAACCATTGTTTTTCTTACTTTAGCACCTAACCACATTTTCAAGAACACTGCAACCTGCTCACAGGTTTTCTTGGCCTGGACGGGACTTCTCTGATTGCCAACATAAACCCTCTATACTCTCTACTCCCTGGCTAGCAGCTGGTTCTGCCTTCATTTGCCTAAATATCCCAGGTGCTGCTAATCATCCCAGCTCTGGAAAGTTGCTGAGACTGAGTTGCAGCAGGTGTTTTTACCTAGCCTGCTGACTGGTCAAGTGCTCTGCTCTACAGCAGGGCCTTTTAAAGGAGCCATGCCTATGCACGCTGTTAGAAGTGAGCCTACCCAAGAGACTGGTTACAAGAAAACCACATTTGGAACTTCTTTTCTCATCGTTCTCAGTCCCTATGTGGATTTACATGATGGAAGTTTGGCGCTAAATGTAGCAAGCTTTGTTGTCAGAGTGTCTTTGAAATGCCAGCCTGCAAATAATGCCCTGGAGACTTACATTACTTATGAAAGCTTGGCCTTAGCTTAGGCTTTTCCCCAACTAGCTCTTATACCTCAAATTAACTTCTCTCTTTTAATCTACATTCTGTCACATGGCTTTGTTTCCTGTGCTCTGTACCATGTGTCTGACTTCTTCAGAGTCTCACTATTACCCCTCTTCTTCCCAGAGTTCTCTTTCTCCCCAGTAGTCCCACCTATCCTCTCCTGCTTAGCTGTTGGCCATTCAGCAATTTATTAAGCCAATGACAGTGCCACATCTTCACATAGTATAAACACATACTCTGCAGCACATTGACACATTACTTATCTAAATTAGGGAGAGACAGCAAACACACCATACATGTTCATGTTGTGCCTTGACCATGCTCACTCTCTGTTCTTTACTGTGTCATCTTTTTCTCCTTCCCCTTCTCTGGGAGACCCTCTTCTTCATACTTTTTTGGTTCAGGCTTTTAGAAAAATTTCCACATATTAGACAAAATGTCTTGTATTTGTTCTTGTGTTTGGTTTATTTTGCTTAACACAATGCTCTCCTGTTCTTATCTTTCTTTCATTTTGTATTATTTCTACACTAGAAAGCCCTGTTTATTCTTAATAGGAAAGTGTTTATTATTTTACAATATATGTCATTTTAGTTTTAATCTGTATTATATTTTAATTGTGTCTGTGTGTGTATTCACATGAGTTCAGGTGCCTGCAGGTTCCAGATATAAGTTTCGGATCCCCCGGAGCTGGCTTTATAGGTGGTTGTGAATTGTCCAGTGTGAGTGCTGGGAACTCAGCTCAGCTCCTCTGCAACAGTAGCACATACTCTTAACCACTAACCATCTCTCTAGCTCCTTCATTTAGCAACTTATGAGCCTCTGTATTCATGGTTTGCCTGTTTGGTTTATCATGGAATTCTAGAATTATTTGATAATATTTACCAGGACCTACAAGTGATTGTTTTCTGTGTGTGCTGGGAAGTGTAACTGGCATGTACTGCTTGTTAATTTTTGAAAAATGCCTGTTATAAGTGGAGCTAAATAAGTTAAATAAGTGGAGCTAAATAAGTTTATAAGTGGTCATTGCATTGTTTTTGCTGATACTGTTTTTGTGAATTGTTCCTCTCGTTTTGCTATTGTTTCGCATTCAGAATTGCCACTTACTTAGTTCACTGTAAATTAACTGCTGTGACCTTTAAAAAATTTTATGGTATTTTCTTGTGTACTTATACAGAATACACTGTTAATCCTTCAGTTGAAGTACAGTCATATAATTTTTGGCAGTTAGTATACATCTTTAGGCCATGGTAGAAAAATAGTTTTCTTCTGATTCATCTAATTTTACTCAATGTGAATAATTTGGTCAGGGGTTATTTGAAATGATGACTCCTGATTATTTAAATCACATATGATTAGCTGCTCTTAATTATATAATCACTCATTTTATGATGCTTTCATTATCTTTTGTTTCTAAACATTGATGTTAACTCAATAAATGTTTTTTCCCCTTTAGTTTTCTTTCAGTGTGGAATATTTGTTTTAATTAATCAGAAATCTTTTATATCTTCTAGTCAACTCTCCTGAACGTAGAATTAAAAATTTACCACCAAAAGCAAGTGGCGATTCAGGAGAAACAAACCAGACAATGATGTCAGAAAGATGTAAAAGCAGTGTCACCGAGGCCTTTTCCTTCAGAGGAATCCAGGAGAATCTACAGAATTTTGAGTTTCAGTGGAAAGACAGTGAAAGGAGTTATAAATCCACCCATAGAAAATATCAAGTTAGTAGAAAGAAGATGGGAAAATGCCTTAGGAACATACTTGAACTACAGTCATTTCCATCGGCAGAGAATATTAATGATAATGAAGTTAAGTCTGTCACCGGTGCTTCTTCAATTTTGTTGTCTCGTCAAATCCTTCAGACTTGTGTCAGAGCACAGGTTATTGACGAATATGAGGATGATGGTTATTGTTCACTACTTAAGAAAAGACAAAAAGCACTTATTAAGGAAAAACCTTATCAATGTAAAGAGTGTGGCAAGGTATTCAGTTACAGTTCTTCTCTGGCACATCATCGGCAAATTCACACTGGAGAGAAACTTTACAAATGTGTTGAATGTGGAAAGGCTTTTTTTCGACGTTCTTATCTTTTGGTACATGAGAGGCATCATACTGGTGCAAAACCCTACAAATGTAATGAATGTGGCAAGGTGTTCACTCAGAATTCACACCTCACAAGTCATCAGAGAATTCACACTGGTGAGAAACCATACAAGTGTAATGAATGCGGCAAAGCCTTTAGTGTCCGTTCAAACCTAACTAATCATCAGGTGATTCATACTGGAGAAAAACCATACAAATGTAATGAATGTGGCAAGGTCTTCAGTCAAACTTCAAGCCTTGCAATTCATCGGAGAACGCACACTGGAGAGAAACCTTACAAGTGCAATGAGTGTGGAAAAGTCTTTAGCTCACATTCAAACCTAAATACCCATCAGGTAATTCATACTGGAGAAAAACCCTACAAATGTTCAGAATGTGGCAAGGTCTTTACTCAAAATTCACATCTGGCAAATCATTGGAGAACACATACTGGAGAGAAGCCTTATAAGTGTAACGAGTGTGGAAAGGCCTTTAGTGTGTATTCTAGCCTCACTACCCATCAGGCAATCCATACCGGAGAAAAACCTTACAAGTGTGATGAATGTGGCAAGGTCTTTACTCAGAATTCACATCTTGCAAGTCATCGTGGAGTCCACAGTGGGGAGAAGCCTTACAAGTGTGAAGAATGTGGCAAAGTCTTCAGTCAGACTTCAAATCTTGCAAGACATTGGAGGATTCATACGGGAGAGAAGCCTTACAAATGCAATGAATGTGGCAAAGCCTTTAGTGTGCGTTCAAGTCTAACTTCCCATCTGGTAATACATACTGGAGAAAAACCATATAAATGTAATAAGTGTGGCAAAGTCTTCAGTCAAACATCAAGTCTTGCGATTCATCAGAGAATTCACACTGGAGAGAAACCTTACAGGTGCAATGAGTGTGGAAAAGCCTTTAATTCACATTCAAACCTTAATACCCATCAGGTAATCCATAGTGGCCAAAAACCTTATAAATGTCTGGAATGTGGCAAAGTGTTTACTCAAAATTCACATCTGGCAAATCATCGGAGAACCCATACAGGAGAGAAACCTTACAAGTGCGACAAGTGTGGCAAAGCCTTCAGTGTGTACTCAACTCTGACTACTCACCATGCCATCCATACTGGAGAAAAACCTTACAAGTGCAATGAATGTGGCAAAGTCTTCACTCAGAATTCACACCTAGCAAATCACCGTAGGACTCACACTGGAGAGAAACCTTACACGTGTGATAAGTGTGGTAAAGCCTTTAGTGTACGTTCAAGCTTGACTACCCATCAGGCTATCCACACTGGAGAAAAACCTTACACGTGCACTGACTGTGGCAAAGTCTTTAGTCGAAGTTCCAACCTTGCAAGTCATCGGAGACGTCATATCAGCCAGAAGAATAAATGACTATAGCAAGGTCTTCAGCCACAATTCATTTGTATAATATTCAGGAATTCAGTCTTAAGAAAATACTAGTACCAGTAATGATAGAAACACATCCATGAATGGTTCAAGTACCTCGCTGGATGGGGTGGTATGCATGGAAACCACACAGTTGTCAGGCTGTTTTGGGAGTATCACTAGCCTGGGAATTATAGGAAGAACTTGGCCTAAATTTTAAAAAGTCGAGCTTTTGTAGGCATATATTAAGAAGCCATTTCATACATGTAGAGCAGATGCTTTAGTAATGACTCCCACATCTAGAAATGCCAGAATACACATTGTTGATGAAATCATCCAGTTGGCACTTAAACTGAGGAAGTTTAATAATGACCATTACTTTGGAATGTTTATTGAAGGAATAACTTTCATCTTCCATAGCTAATCTTTGATGTTTTAGTAATTGTTGATTACAGAACAATTAAAGTCAAAATAAGCTAAAATGTTTTATATATGTATATACACACAGATATATGCATATATATGCACCAACATTATTTTCATATACCTGCTTCCATTCAGGTTATAAATTATTCATTTTGTTGTGTTTTCTTTCGATATCTGCTTTGCCATTTATGATTGTAGGCGTCAACTTTCTATTGATATAATGCTTGGCTCAGGGTTTTTTTTTTTTTCAGCCTCTGAGAAACAGGCTGAAAGTAGGATAAGAGTGTGCCTATCTAATTTCTTGGAAGAATGACTCTACCTTTTGAAGCAACTATTGTCTAAGTTACTGCCCTAATTTGATTTAGTTGCTGTGATAAACTCCATGACCAAAGCTAACTTGGGGACGAAAGGGTTTATCTCATCTTATTGATTATAGTCAGTCAAGGGAAGCCAGGTTGGGCTAGAGTAGGAACATGGAGGCAGGAACTAGGGCAGACAATAGAGAAAGACAGTGTGCCTGCTTATTGGTTTTCATTGCTTAGTTTCCCTTATACAACACAGGACAACCTACCAAGGTGTGTTAGTGCCCAGTGTGGCCTAGGCCTTCCCAGACCTGTCACTAATAAAATGTTACACATGCCCAGAGTCCAGCCTTAAGAGTCTCTCTCCCCACATAATAGCAGTGGGTATCAAGTTGACAAGATCTAACCAGATCATTTAACATTAAAAGGTATGTAATACTGTAAAATTTCAACATAATTATCAAGTTTATTGTGCATGATGGAGCCTCTCTGAGGCAACAGCAATTAAATGGGAAAGAAATTAAGATATTGTACTTTATGAAATGAGAATAATAGGCTATTAGGGATGGATTGTTTAGTAAAATGCAGAAGACAAGTGACCCTCTACTTTGAGTAACAATAGCATTCACATAGTATGTAATAAACAATTATTCTTTTTAATTTGAAGTGAGTAGCATTATTAGTATGAAAAATGTAACCCAAAGAATCAAAGTGTAGGATCTGGCTGCATAGGTAGTAAAGAAGCACTTGTGTGCTGAACGTGAGGCCCTCGGTTCAACCCTCAGCACCACCAACAGTAAGTTTTCTTGAGGATGATGTCATTTAATTACCCGTGTTAAGCTTTGCCACTGTGTTATTAAAAATGTATCATTGATCTGACAATTTGTCAATCAATGTAAAGGTTTTACATTCCTGTGAATGTATTTTTATATTCTGTATGCATAGTCTTTCTGTACCCATACAGTGCTCACTCATGGGAAATGAGAAAATGCTATGAAGCTCCTCAGGTTAAGGTTTCTATACTTCTTGTCTGAAATCAAACACCATAAAGTTTCAGGACTGTATTATCGTTTTTTAGTGAACTTACTCAGTGCATGCCAGTAGGATATTTGTATAGGTATAAGGGACATCACCAAAGACACATTGTGCATACTGCGTAAGTAAAGATGACATGTGTCCTGTATATGCCTGTACACTTGAAACTTCTCAGAGCTACACAATCCTTCAGACATTCTGTTGATTGATTGACGTGCAGTCCTCACTCTGGTTGACTTTCCACATCAATAATACTTGAAAAACAACAGTACAGACAGAATCAGGAATTCAATTATTTCATGAAAAACCTTACTTTAAGCACTCTTTAGTAAACATGAAATTCATGACTAGAAATATATCAAAATTTCTAAAGGGAGATGGTTAATTACTTTTCTGTTGTAATGTAGAATACCCCAACAAAAGCAAGTTAGATAAGAAACTTACGTTACAGTTTTCAGAGAGGAAAGGCATGGCGGTCAGCAAATGCCATATTTTATGAATAGGAAATTGGCCATGCTATAAAATCTCAAAGTATTACAGTTGGTGATCCATTGCTCTGGTAAGGGTCCACAATCATCTCCAAAAAATAGCACCCCAACTGAGGAGCAAGAGTTCAGTATGTGAGCTTGTGGGCAACTTCTTATTGAGCCCTCATTGATTTCACTCAATGTTGCATATCTTCTGCTCAGACCAGGCCCACTGTCTCTGTGAATTCCTGCTGCCTTCTGATCCAGATGTGGAACTCTGCTACATCTCCAGTATCATATCTTTCTGTATGCCACCAGACTTCCCTCCACAATGATCGTGAACTAAACTTCTGAAAGTATAAGCCAGCCCCAACTTAAGTTTTTCTTCCATAGATGTTGCCATGATCATGGGGTCTCTTCATGCAATTGAACTGTGACTACAACCAAAGTAATATATATTAAAAGAGAAGGAAGCTTAAACAATTTTACGTTTTCCAAGCTAAACTGCTTAGAAGGAAAAATAGTCCAGTATGTTTCCAACAAAGAAGGCTACTATTTTGGGGTGTTTGGTAGTCAAAGAAGGGGTAGATGCTTGTTACAACATTTTCATATGTATATATTTTACTTTATAATATTGTTACCCCATTACTTTTCTTCATCCCTCCCAACCCTCCCTTGGTGTCTTCCTCTCCCTAAATATTCTCCTTCTTTTCCAGACACCTTGACTCTTTATTCCTTAGTATTTGAGCATTTATTTACTTCTTTGTGTCAATGTCAGGTCTTCATTAATGTTCAAGCATGAAAACTTAGGGTGATAGTCTCTTAGATGACACATTAAGTCTTATGCTTCACTGAAAGACAACTTTTTATCATACCTCTAGGTACATGGATATGCCCATCCTGTGCAGAGCTAATGATTGTAACTGAAAATCATTCCTGTCTGTTCTGATATTGTCAATCCCATCCCACCAACACCAAATATACCAACACATCCAAGCTCCTCCACACCTCAGAAGTTATACCCCTGAGCCAGTTCCTCTTTAACCTGTCCATCTTTAACTCATCCCTGGACTATATCCAGAGTATTAATTTCAACCAACCACCTGATTTCTAATTCAGAATCCAGACACTTGTAGACCTGTAATCTGTCATCTATTACTTCTAGATCTTACAATATTTCCACATAGATCCCTGAGTCAGAATGGGAGGTCTTTGATGAAGACATCTTATTTAGTCTGAATATTCCAATGTCTCTCCTATACATATTGTACAATTGTGGTTACATGTAGTTGCTCCCATATATTTCAAGACAAAGCCACCCTTTGGTGAACTAAGAGGGAGGCACTGATTTATAGGTACAAATATTTGAGTGTTTTTCAGGCCATCATCATTGGTGACTCAAGGATGACAGAGCTTAAAATCAAAACTCCCAGTTACATTCTTTCTCCTGTGTACCTGAGCTGAATTCAGTACATGTTTGTACAAAGTCATTGTGCCATATATGTGAGAGAGAAACAAAGCAAGAGCAACAGGACACATGTAAAAGCTTTGGATGTTGCTACACCATTGATTTTATAAAACAATAGAGCCAGTCCACTTCTGATTCTCTGTTTGTGGTTCTCATGGATTGAGCAAGTAGAGCCATGTTTCTCATACTCCACAGGCATGAGCAGAGGATGCAACACATCCATTGGACCAAACTCTCCTCTAGTGCTGCCCCTCAAACCCCAGAATCCAGAGCTACACAAACCAACCTTCTGGGGAATACCTTTGTCTCAGTGTGACTTTACACACTACCCTGCATCTTGACCATCTGTTTAACCCGTTCTATTGATCCCACTTGTTTTATGGTGAGCATGGCTCTGTTAGCTGCTGGGGTTTTCCCAAGTTTCATCTCCTTCCTGCTCATGAGCTGTAACTCCAATATAACCAACTTCTGCTTTCTCTTTACAAATGAGGAAAACTAGTATTGTCATAAAAATGTAAAGTGAAAGATTTTTCCATGATAAAATAGTATTCAGAGTCACCCTATAGAAATTTAAGTGAAGCCATTTAATAAGAACTAGGATGGTTTATGCAAACATGTCCTTACATTGTGAATATGTGTGTATGTGTGTTTATATGCAAGTATATGTGAGCATGAGTTACTCAGGTACTATTCTCTATCCATCGTACAATATAATATTAAACATATAAATTTGAAAGGAAATTTTCAATATGAATAAAACTGTAAATTTTATGTTTTATAAATTTACCAAACCAGTAGCTGAGAATGAATTCGGGGGCTAAGGCCATGCACAATCGACTCAAAAATACTTTGGAATAAACATAACCAATGCAATGAACTCTCCAAAGAAGCTATAACATAAAACTATGAAATGTGGAAAACATAAAAGACAACCTCTTATGCTCAACAATTAGTGATGTGGAAATGACTGTTCTGACCAAAGCACCATAGAGGTAAATGCAGTACCTATCAAAATTCTAACATAAAAGCCTGGATATATGGCTTAGTGATTAGGAGCATATACTGCTCTAGGAGGATCCAAGACTGATTCCCAGTTCTCATTTCCTGAACTTCTAACTTCACCCCCATGAAATCTGTTGCTTCTTTTCTCCATGATCATCTGCATTAAGGTACGCATATTCTAACACATAGGATCACAAACACAGACACACAGATACACATGCAAATTTCCAACATAATTCAACACAAAAAGAGAAAAATAGCCTAAGATTCATATGAAAGCACCAAAGACTGCAGAGAGACAAACCA